AAACTGAGACTCACAGAACTCAAGTCCCCCAACCAGGATCACGCCCAGTCTCCAGACGGAAGTTGGGAAACATCAGTGTTCTGGGAGGGGAGCCATGGCTGAATGTACTGGCCAAGAGCCAGACAGGACACTTTTGCAAAGCTGAGAACCTGCACTGAGCTGCCACATTATTAGGTTACTCATTACAGAAATGCATACTTAGGGCAGGCATTTCAAAATGCAAAAGACAATGGAGACAACACATTCTCCTTGGGATGCCACCCCACTGCTAACCTACTGACGGGTCTCCTTCTGCCTCAGGCTGTGCTGCTCTGACCTGGAGCTTCATCTGGAGTGGACACCATGCCACACACTGTTCCTTAACCTCCTGGGACACAGCTGGGCCACATGCTGAGAGCCTAAGGGGAGGTGTCTGTAACCGGGAGAGCCTTCTGGGGAGTGGACTGGAAAGCTCCTGGGCTTGGAGTAGGAGTGTGGGGCTGTGTCTTCGTCAGACCTCTGCTACTTACCAGCCTCACCACTCAGGGATGGTGCACAGAGCAGCCCCGGCCTCACTGCTCATCGCCCTAATTTGTCTCTTTCTAATCCAAATACCACAGCCTACATGACCAGTATGACTGACACCAAACCTGCTAGCACGAAAGCCTGCAACCACTTGACCGAGCTCTTCAGACCCCGCTCCACAGCAGAGGAGGGAGGGGCGGGGGTGCTGGGGACTCTGCTCCACAGCAGAGGAGGGAGGGGCGGGGGTGCTGGGGACCCGCTCCACAGCAGAGGAGGGAGGGGCGGGGGTGCTGGGGACTCTGCTCCACAGCAGAGGAGGGAGGGGCGGGGGTGCTGGGGACCCGCTCCACAGCAGAGGAGGGAGGGGCGGGGGTGCTGGGGACCCGCTCCACAGCAGAGGAGGGAGGGGCGGGGGTGCTGGGGACTCTGCTCCACAGCAGAGGAGGGAGGGGTGGGAGGTGCTGGGGACCCACTCCGCCACAGAGGAGGGAGGGGTGGGGGTGCTGCTGGGGTGGTCACTCTGATCCCATGAAAGTTAGGGAGCTAACAAAGCCCTCTATTCCTGACTTCTAAGGATGGGACATTGGATCACCCATCATCAGTAGACAACAAAAGGTCCTTAAACTTGACCAAGCTAGAGGAGAGGACTGCCTGTGGGGGCTGGAAGAGAGATGGGCTGGGATCCTAAGCTTCTTCTGGAGGCCAGCATTCCCATATGCCCATGTTTCTCGTCCTTGGCACCACGGACATTCTGCACAAGATCGTACTTTGCAGTGGGGGCTGTCCTGTGCATTGTAGGGTGTTTAGCAGCTTCCTGGCCTCTACCTGCCATCAGCATACCCTCCAGACATCACCAAGTGCCCCTGGGGAGAGAGGGTAGGAGTTCTGTTTAGGAACCCTGAACCTATCCTGCTGCACAAACTCAGGCTCTGGCCTGCCCTGAGGCTGGCCATGTATGCACACCTCCGCTCCTAGCCAGGCACTCTGGGGGGCAGGGGGCACTCCGGGAGGTGGGGCTGGGCTGGGTGGGGAGGGCGCTGGGCGCTCCTTCACTGACTCTTTCCATCACATCTGGAATCAACAAGGTGTGTTGACAGCTGATTCAGTGACTCACATGAGGGCATTTCTCTTCTCTATTATCAGAGTTTTAAAAACAATTTATCTGTATGTGTTTCATTATTAAATCCCTTTTCTTTCTGATGAAGATGCCTTTTGTCTTCATGTATTTAGCAGTTTGAGATTTTTAACTCTACTGCTCCTTCCATTGTGGATACCGATGACCGTAAGGTCAAAACTAGGGTTTTTGGGGAACACATTTTTCTGGGTCTACAATGTTTCTCTTTGACTCTGGGGGACTTGGTCACCAGTTTTGGGTGGATTATTTGAAGAGGATTAGGCCCCTCTCCATTTTCATTCTTAGCCTCTGGCTGAAACCAGCTGCTCACCCTGCCACAAATGGTAAGGGTGTATCTCTGTGACCCAGGCCTCCGGCGTGACCCAGGCCTCCGGCGTGACCCAGGCCTCCGGCTCAGCCACGTCCATCCCCCCAAGGGAGGTGCACCACTACGGCCCCAGCCCTGCCCCAGGCCAGGCAGGAGACCCCTCTGACCACCTGTACTGGTGGAGTGCTTTTAGGTTCCCCAGGGGGGCCACATCCGCCGTGTCTTCTCATTACTGGGATATTGCCAGGAAGCTGGGGGTGGGGGGGCACTGAGCACCCACCTCAAAAACAAAGAAACCTGAGGCTCAGGTAAGCCACATGCTCAAGTTCACCTGATGCAGGTCCTTTGTGGGATGCCTGCAGAGCACACAGTGCAATTACCAAAATTTCCAGCACTCTAACACCTTTGCTGATAGTCTCCACATTTAACTTCGTCTGAATCTCTAAACACCGTCCTGAGGCAGCTAGCTTAGCGATAACCAACAGAATGGCCATTAGGATTGTGTGTCCGGCCTGTGTGTCCATTGGGAGCCCACCTGCCAGCCAAAGAGAGCCCAACATCAGGGCCTCCCAAGGCTCCCATTCTTGTGTGTCAGGCCAGCACCTGTGGGGAGGTTTTCACTCATGCTGCTGTGCGAGAAAGAAGCTTTTCCATCTTCAGGCTCTGCCTGGCCACTCCGCTTTGTCTACACCCAACTCACACACAAGCTTGAAGCCCAGAAGAATCACCTTCAGGTTCGCACTGGAGACTCAGGCTCCCTCCACATGCATTTCCTCCTACTGACCATGCCAGTCAGGTGTGTAGAAAACTACAAAAATGGGGCACACAGCCCACCAGGGGATCTTGCTCAGGTGCAGAATCCGCTCAGGGTCTGAGTGGGGTATTGATAACAAGCTCTGGGCCTTGGACCACACTGGGCCACAGGCATGACAGAAATTACCTCACTTCCACCAAAGACAAAATCTTGTAGCTTCCAGCCCTCCCTCCTTATCTCCAGGCCCTGAGATGGCCAGTGGTGCCCTGCACCTTCCCCATCACCTAGAATGCTGTTCATCTCCCATCAGTCCCTTGTCCCTGCTTCTTAAGAAATCTAAGTGGGAGCTCTCCCCGCAGCATGACCACTGTTCTCCGCAATTGGCAACAACAACAGACCTGCATGAAGTTTAGGGGATTTCTCTTTGAAAGAAAGTCAGCACCTCTGTGCATAGAGTGTGTATCTCTTTGACATTTAAAAAAAAATTCTACCTGGAATTTATTAAAATTTACATTGATAATAAACGATTATACAAGGCCTTTTGCAGCTTTCAGACTAGTGGACATCCTAAATCTTTTGTCTGGAATGGTTTCTTACTGACTTTCTGTGGGAATCTTTTGGCATTTTGCCTTAATTCAGAATTCTGTCTACATGTCTGGACCCCTGGCCAGACTGGTGTTTCTCTTATGGGTAGGACTGTAACTGTGGGTCTCTGCGGTTGTAGTCCCTGGCATGTATGTAAGAGGATATTTAGTGAAGTGAAGTAAAAATTAAATTCGGAGTGATACTGTTTGGCAATCTGTGTTAAAGGATATGTGTACTCCATGGCATAGTAATTCCATTTTTTGGAGTCAATTCTAATGAAATAATTAGAAATAAGTGAATTCAAGAAACACAGTATTTTATAAAAACTAAATATTGGAAACATCTTGATTATCCAATAGTGGGATGATTAAAAGTTATGCCTGTATTCATATATGCAGCTCTTAAAAACCGTATTTCTTAAGAACACTTAATGAATATATTCCTTATATAACATGAGGTGAAAAAAAGTAGGTTGCAAAACTGGTTAAACAGCATGATCACAATTTTGTAAAATATATGAATATATATACAGAAAAAGGAACAGATAATATATACCAAAAGATTAACAGAATTGATTGCTGACTAGTATAATTATGGGTGACTGTAACTTTTGTCTTTGAATTCTTTGTATTCTCCAGATCTCTTTTACAATGAATTTATAGTAACTTTACAATTATATAACTTATAAATTACGACTATTTAGAGTATAATTTATAATAATTTTTAAACACCTATTTGTCCTGTCTTCTTAGCTTCATCACAAATTCCTGAAGATCTGAGGATTTTGGTTTCAGCAGCTCCTCTTCCAGAGCCCGCTAGAAAAGAAGTACTCAGTGACGTTGCTAACAATTGATTCCATCTTTCTCCTAAGATATTCTTTTTTCTACCGGCCTTGCAGAAGACTTCCTTCTCCATCAGCTAGGCCTAGAGGTGCTTCCGACCGTCTCCTGACTTCTACCTGTGCTAAAGTGTGCCTTAGGAGTTTGCCTCTTTGCAGAACCTTCGTCTAGAACCATTTACTACCTGTCAGCTAGTACAGACAGGTGTGGCCCGAAGGAGTCAGTCAAGCCTCCATTGGTTCCCGCATCGCCCAGGAAAATAGCAAAAATCGGCCCAAATCAGCCCCCTCCCCTGGCCGCCCAGTGGAGGTAAACAAAATCACGGCGGAGGCGAGCATGAGAGAGAAGTTGTGGGTGCCCAGATGGGAATGAGACACCCCGGGTTGATCCAAGCTTCTCTTCCCTGCTCGGGATTGCGCTGACAGAAGCGCGCACCTCCCGGGGCAGCGGCGGCTTCGGGGGCGGGGCGCTGGGGGCGGGTCCTTGGGGCGCGGGGAGGGACCAGGGTCCTCGGGACTCATGGGGCGGATCCTCGGGGAATGGGGCGGGGATGGGGGCGTGTCCTTGGGGTGCAGGGCGGGACCAGAGTCCTTCAGACTCGTGGGGCGGGTCCTTGGGGCGCGGGACGGGATTGGGGGGCCTGGCCCTCGGGGGCGGGTCCTCGGGGCGCGTGGCTGGACGTGGGTCCTTAGGACTCGTGGAGCTGGTCCTCGGGGGCGGGTCCTCTGGGCGCGGGCGGGACAGGGGCCCCTGGAGCTTTGGGGGCGGGTCCTGGGGGCGTGGGTGGGGCGTTGGCAGCGGGCCCGCGGGACGCGGGGCGGGACGTGGGTCCTTGGGGCTCGTGGGGCGGGTCCTCGGGGCGCGGGGCGGAGATTGGGGGCGGGTCCTCGGGGCGGCGAGCGCGGCGTCCCCCGCTCCTCCCGCGCGCGGCCCCTGGAGTCCCGAGGCGCGCGGCCAGCCCAGCTCGGGCCGCCGCACTCGGAGCGGCTGGGCGGCCGAGCTAGCGCGGGCCGGGCTGGGTCGGGGTCGGGGCCGGGGCGGGGGGCGCCGCCCCCAGCGTCCTCCTGCAGCCCCTGGAGCGAGGAGCCAGGGAGAAGACGAGGCTGAGCGGGGCCGGAACCATGAACCGGAGTTTCCACAAGTCTCAGACCCTGCGCTTCTACGACTGCAGCGCGGTGGAAGTCAAGAGCAAGGTAAGCCGCAGCCGGCGGTCTGCGCCCCCCTGAGAATGAATGAGCGCCCCGAGGGGGGGACTGGGCGCTGCGGGAGGTAGGGGGGCTGGCGACAACTTTGGAGTGCGGGCGCCGCCGCGGGATGCGCGGGGGTCCCGCCGCCCTTTCCGCCCCTGCACGGACACAAAGCCCGGCAGCCCGATGGGTGCCCCTGGAGCCCGGCGCTAGGAGGGCCGCGCGGGCTACGGACCCCCGCGGGAGAGGCTCTTTTGTTCCACGAGCGGGAGACGACCCGGCGCGCAGCACGGTGGAGGGGCGGCGTTTCCGGGGCGACCCGGGGGCTGCTCGGAGTGGGGCCGTTGGGGAGCCTGGGGGCCTGGGCCGGGGGAGGGCCGGGCCGCGCCTCCTCCTTCACTGCGGAGGAGCCTCGGAACCCGCGAGGGGAGAGCGGCAGCCGGCCGGGGCCCCCAGCCCCGCCGGCGCGCCCCAGGCCCAGGCTCTCCGGGCGCGCCCGGCCGGTGGCCCCTCCCGCTGCCCGCGCCCCGGCCCGAGCGTGCCCCAACTTGCGGGTGTCTGTGCGCGTTCGGTTAATTGGCTGATAGGATCTGGCGCTTCTGCCCTTTGCGGGGGCGGCTCCTTGGAGGCTGACGCTTTTGTCTGCGAGGGTCTTGGTTGCAGTTGTTCAGGGTCCCGGAGGAGGGGGCTCCTCGGGCCCTTCGCTGCTGCTGCCTGGGAGTCGGCCCTCTCGCCCTTTCTCTACGCCTCCCGCCTTCTGTAAAGCGAGGCGGAGAAGCCTGAGTGCTTGGAGAGGGGCTGGAGGGGAGAGCTCAGAACCCCAACTCCGCGCGGGGCGATTGTGCCTAGGGAGCGGAGTCCAGCGGCCCCCCTGCCCAGGCCGCCCCTGCCGGTTAAGGAAGGGCCAAAGGGGTCCTTTGGTGAAGGATTTACAGGGCATCCGCCGAGGATGGGGGGCGGCTTCTCTGCAATGAACCAGTGAGTTGCAGGATTTCATTCTCATCTTGGGGAGACGGTCTTTATGAACTCCTCACTTCTCTTAAGATCGCAGCTTTTCCCCAATGCTAATTCTGTGACCCTCGCCCGGGACGCATCCCCTCTTTCGCCCAGGAGTGCCCCTACCCTCGCAAAGCAAATGTGCCCGCTCTGAGTTATGTGCGGGAATGTGGCTGATCAGATAGTGGCTCTTTGACCACTATCATAGGCACTGAGCATATGTGATGGGTCTTTTTTTTTTTTTTAACTTTTCAAGATCATCATGGATTCACAGGCAGTTGTAGGAAAGAATATAGAGATTCCCATGAAGGTCCATTCTTGTAGCGCGGGCTCGGTCCCGCACGTTTGTTGGATGCATATCCCTGCCATCTCCAGCAAGCACAGTGAACATACAGAACACTTCGAGCAAGGGTCCCTCCTGCTGTTCCTCCAGAGGCTACTTGATTTTAAGGGTAGATTGACTAACATTAAACACTTTTCCTGAGTCACACAAGCCACATTCCTCGTGCTCCGCAGCACGTGCACCTTGAAGCTGCCTGGTGACATGCACAGCTCCGGAGGATCTATCTAGAAGGATCGATCTGGAGACACTGCCCTCACCAGGCCTTATGCACAGTCTGAACTGGTGGTACCATGCAGGCCGCTGGGAGATGGAGAGTAAGAGCCTGCCTTTGCGTCTCCTCCAGGAGGGCAGTGGGGGGCTGTGGATGTCCTGGCTGCCCAGCAGGCTGCCTCCGACTGCCCTACCCCCTTTGGCTCCCCAGTGAAGAAGGGTACTCAGGTTCAGATTCAGATGCAGTGAGTCTTCCCCTGGAGGTGAGGGGCAGGGCTGGAGTTTTGGTTGAATTTGGGAGTACCCCTGGAAGGGCCACACCAACCTGGGTGGGCCCTGCTGAGCTGGCTGGTTCAACACACACATACACACACACACACCACACACACACACACACACCATTTTGGGTGATGGGGCTTGCCTTACTGTTTGTCCAGAGAGTCCACTTGGCTCTTCCCTCAGTACACACCCTCCCACTGGCCCCCTTAAAATTTAATATTTGCTACCCTGGAATCCATCTCTGCAGCTGCTGTTGTCAAAATACAGGAAGAAAAACTTTATGACAGTGATGTCTTTATTCACATTAAATGCAGCACCAGAAACCTGGGTTTGCATGTGGGGAAAATGGTGCTGGGGGTTGAGTCCAGCCAGGTCTGCCGCCTACTACTCTTTGGAACATTCAGGAAAGTCCTTCAGCCCTTCAGAGCCTCGTTATTCCACCTGTAAAATGGGCATTGTTCCTGTTCTTCTTACCTCCCAGGACAAAATGAAGTGATGACTATGAACGCACTCTGAAATCTACGGCCTGCCTGCAGAGGTACCAGTCAGTCCCTGCAGTTCAGGGTTCTGTGGCGTTTCAGAATATTGGGGCTGAAATTCACCTCTCATCCTCTCAGAATTTTGGGCCATGTGCCACAGCAAGTCAACTTCCCAAGCCCTGGGGACATTGTCTTTACCTGGTGGTTCTCCCCCATCACACAGGCCCTTATATTCCCCAAACGTTTCTGCTTTAATACTCGTGATTCATCTATTCCTCCCCAAACCAGCAGAATGCACTTGCGACTCCTCAGTTCTGGTACCGAGGCTGCCATTTTCCCATTTGCTTTTGACTTTTGCCTCTCCTCCCATAAGACCTGCAGTGTGGAGGGAGGGGCTGTGCACAGTTCTGGGGATGTTTCAGGCCCAGGGGAGCAAGTCTTGGCCCCTTGTAGGGGTAGCAGGAGGCCCTGTGCTAGGGGAGGCCTCTACAAGGAGCAGAGGACTCCAGCTATGTGAAGGAGCATGTTACCCTCTGTGCAGTGTGCCCCCCTGAGCCCCTGCCTTCTACTTGGGCCTCACTCACGTTCTCTTAACCTGGTAGTCTGTTTGCTCTGGTTATGTGGCTTTCCCCCACCTGACGTGCTCTCTGAGAATCCGCCCTATGTGCCAACCCTCTCCTACCAAGTTCATCCGATGCCTTCACCAGGCCGAGCTCCCTCCATCCTCCGACCCCCGCTCATCTTATGGCCCTTGTCTCAGCACCGGCACAACGTGATTGTTCAGAGCAGAGACAGAGGACCATGTTTACACCCCCAGGCATGACATGTCCACTGTGTTTGGGGGAAAGTCCCTACGGAGGGTTTTAGTCCAGTGTTTGCTGCTTTGCTTAAATCGTGTTGGAGGCTTTTCTGGACTCTAAAGAAATACATTGTCATTGCTGAAAATTTAGAAACCATATCAGGCACAAAATGGGGTAATTCTACCATCCAAAACGGAGCCACTCTTAAGTGTGGCTGCATGTCTTCCTGACCCTCTATATGCACATGCTAACACATACATCTGTATTTTACAGAATCAGGGTCATATTTTATAGGCATGTTATGCTGTAGCCTGCTGTCCCCCTTCAACTTAACTCTACAAGTGTTTTGTCATGTCATTAGTATTTTTTTAAAAGATTTTATTTATGTATTTGACAGAGAGAGACAGTGAGAGAGGGAACACAAGCAGGGGGAGAGGGAGAGGGAGAAGCAGGCTTCCCGTGGAGCAGGGAGCCCGATGCGGGGCTCGATCCCAGGACCCCAGGATCATGACCTGAGCCGAAGGCAGACGCTTAACGACTGAGCCACCCAGGCGCCCGTCATTAGTATTTTTAAAGAATACCTGTATTCTATCTTATGTGTAAACCATAATTAATTTAACCAGTATCCTATTTGGGTCATTTCCAGTGTTTTCTATAATAAACAATGCTGTGCAAAACATCTTTGTACTTAAACATCTACATAAACATATACAGAGTATGTAGAGATTTGTTACATAAAGGATATAAAGAACTATTTCTTCAGGACAGATTCCTAGAAGTGCACTTACTATGTTAACAGTATACATGTTTTGAAGACTTTGAGTATATATTGCTAAATTTTCTTGCAGAAAGGCTCTTGTGCAGATTTATGTACTGTTTCCTGTCTGTCTATCCCTCTCTCTCTCCCCTCCCTCCCTGGGTATTTTCTTCTTTCCCGATCACATAAGTGGAACACCATCCCATTGTTTTCATTAGATCCTTAAATTATTAGTGAATTGAACATTTTTATATTTGTGGGCTATTCATCTATTTTTAGCTGCCTCTTTCTTTCCTGCAGTGTTAGTGTTCTTATTTTTTATGGAGTTATGGTACCTGCTTGACAACAGACTCTAGTCAGTGCTGAGGTAACAGTGATTTAAGCCTGTATGATTCCCCTGGTCCTCAGATCCTATCCCTGGCTGAGGCCGTTGGCTGCCCAGTGCTGCAGGGACACGTCTCTCCATCTGGTGGGCTGGGGGCTGGGCCAGGCTCTCCCCATGGGGTGGTTGAGCGCTTGCCTCCCGTGGGCCAGTTGAGAACTGCCTGACACAGTTTGACTCACCTGTGTGTGTCAGCTACACCCTTTCAAGATTCCGGTTCTGTATGTGTGCGTGCCTGTGTTCGAACAGGTTGGGTGACTTGTTGTGGGAAGCTGCCTCGGAGGGGACTCTCACCAGGGACCCAGGTAGGACTGTCAGTTTGGTGGGTGCCAGTGGTGTTGATGTGGGTCTCTGGCTGGAAGCAACAGAAAGCCCTATGCACTCTCCCCAGGGGGGCACCCCAACTGGCCAAGGGGTTCAAGCCCTTTCCTAGGACCCATGGCATTTCCGATAGAGAGTTCTCCCACCTTGAGGAAAGGAGTGTCAAGGATTGGAAGGCACAACCATTCAAGGTATCAGAAGCTCTAACATTTGTGAATCATGTCTAGAATCATCCTGACACTTTCCCATGAAGGGGCCTTCCAGACTTTTAGAGGCAAGCAACCAGTGAGCTTGGAATGGGGTGACAGAAGCATCCGTGACCGCAGTGGTTAAAGGGAGCATCAGGGTTAGTGTCAGACTTGTTCAGCTGGCTGTGTGCCTGTTTACTGGCTTGCCACTTCCTCTTGGCAAATTTCTACTCTTCTGTGAATGTGGGGAG